GGGGCTAGAAACATCTGCCACTCTGAGCATAACAGAGGACTGAGAGATACAAGGTGAGGGGGCCATTACAGTGACATGATGCATCTGGATACTCACATCACTGACCATAACACACAAGCTTTATGGGTAATATTTGCAGGAATTTTTCACACTTTAAAGGTGTGTAGTTTTGCCAGCTTTCTGTGGAAGACAGGTTTGAATTAACTGATCTCAGGTTAAGTGAGCTAATTCAACATTATTGATTTATTTTAAATAAATGCTTCTCATTTGTCCCATAGGGACAAATAAACTTAGCTGTGGAAACATAAAGCTACCAGGTAATCATGTTAGATATGAAGCTCTGGTCTAATATGGTCTTCGGTATTGATGGCCGTTAATTTTCTTACGTCACACGACCAACAAAGCAAATGTCTTAAATATTATTATTTCTGAAAATAACTTTTGTTATTAAAGTAAAGTCACTTTTTGAAAATGATTCCACATACTTTAAATTAATATTCTTGTTTACTGTACCTTTAACAGCTATTCTCACAGTTTTTAAAAACTGATGGGCAGTTTTGTAACTTATGAATAATCTCAACTGTTGTATGGAATGTGGAAAAGTAAAAAAAAAAGGAAAGAAAAAAAGACACATTGTTTTCATCCTTTGACCCAAACCTGCAGTGAAGGCAGGTATGGTTTTCATAATTCTGCTCAAGTGTAGCTCCAGTCCTACAGCCTGTTTTTGTTTTAGTTATATACACTCTCCACACACTGCTATTTATCATACACCCACACAACAATCCTCAAGAGTTAAGGGGCAGAAGAAAACAAAATACAAAAAAACAAAGTACGAAAACAAATTCTAAAAGAAGAAAAATAAAACTCTGGAATCCTGGCAGTGTGAAATCCCATTGTATTTTCTTTTTGTAATCTTTATTTAATTATTCCAGTGAGGGGGTAATTGTTTTTAGAGTAAACTTAACAAACCTGGACTCCTGCTGTTCTCTAATTTTTTATAGATGACAGATACACAACTGAAGAGTCACTTTGACTGACAGATGACTTTTAATTTCAGATCTTCATCATGTGCTACTGTGTTTGAAGACTTCTTCAGCCACAGTTGTCTAATTTCCTAAGAACTAGTTTTGGATTTTTTTTTTTTTTTTTGTCTTTCTTAATCTAATAGTGACTAGGACGACAAACCACACACCAATAAATTGAACTGAGTAGGAGTACTACTTAAATGATTATGCCAAAAAAACACACCAAACTTTAAAAGACATTTTCTGGTTTCAAGTGTTTGCAACAAAAGATTATTCCACTGTTTATGTAGCAGAAAAAAAATCTAAAACCTTAAACAGATTTGGCTGTTTATTGACTAAACCATTGAAGCTACTTGCTGACTCCACAGTTGATTTAGTTTTTTTTTTTAGGATTAAGTGTGAAAAACATGTTTACTGGCAATGCCTAATAATGACCCGTCTCTCAAGTTTTATATGATGACTCTAACCTTGCTCACTTCAGTGAAGCTGGTACCAAAATAACAAACAGTATTCTGTGCTTAGGTAATGAGCTTGAACATTTTCTTATCAGAAAAACAGACAGACACTATTTGTTAACCATTCATAACTTGTTTGTTTTTTACTTCACAAAAATACTGCAAAACATGTAGTAGACGTTCTGAGTTGACACAGTCTTCTTTACCTACGGCATGTGAAACTCTACAGTCTCCTCTGTTGACAAACCAAGTTTTAATTGTCTGCTGTACCTCAGATGTGTTTCCAGCAGAAAACAAAACACTACGTTGTAAGATACAGTCCGTGGCTGCAGTTTGTCTCTGTCCATGATGGACTGATGCACTGTTGCCTCTGGACCTAAAGGCTATGCATATTCAGCAGCAGTCTTTGCCCCTTATCTCTGCACAGGACTTAATACCATTCTTAACTAAGAGTGCAACATTTTGAGAATTTTTTTAATTAATTTATGAATTTTAATCAGAGTGTATAAATTGTAGTCCACCTAAAAACAGGATATGCAACTGTTAGATATTTGCAGATTAAAGTGAGTAACCAACTGTCTTGAGTGAAGTGTGAAATGCATATAAATGTCCCGTCAGATGAGTTTTTACTATAACGAAGTTTACAAAGATTGCAGTCTTGTGAAAATCTATTATGAATACAATTTGTGTTTTTCCGTTCACACTTTTTATTTTGCTACAACACTGTCAAACAACCCTACAGTTAAAATGCCAAGGGTCACAAGTCAAACATATGCAGCATGGTTTACAATTTATTACACCACATTTGCCTCATAATTTTTCTCTTTTGACAAGGCTTAGGTAAATCATACGACATACTTTATAATGTATGAGAACTGTGCTGGCTTGATGAGTAAAGTCTGTTGCTATTGGCTCTTACCCCTGTGGTGTTTTAGATCCCATAAGACCAATAAGACTCGTCTTGTGTTCCAACATGACTGGATTCACTGCAGGAACAGGTAGAGGTCCACGTATTTATAGCAACCATATGCAAATGGATCAGTGCCACGTCGGATTGTTAGTGCAGCGAGGTGACAGTTAAATATACGTACAATAGGGGAAGAAATGTATGGGCTTCCTTCCCCTCTTTTGAGACAAGTCTAATCAGTTATGAGAGCTTCCCATCCTCATTTCATTTGAATATATTGAGCTCGGACTTGGGTTTAGGAAGTCTCTCTCTCCTCCCTTGTATGTTACCCCTTCCCACTGAAGGCTCATTATTTTACAGCAGGGTGTGTGAGAGGTGGACCCAGTCTCTGAACTCTCTGTCGAGGCCATATTAATCAAACTTCGCAGAGTGGGGAAGGTTTCCACCCACTGTCACGATGACACTGGCTCTACACTGAGGGACAAAAGAGAAAACACCTGAGCTGGTGCTGTAAAACATCCATGACGTTTGAACTTTACAGCATAATTATTCTTGCACAATAACACTTTTTTTTAGTTCTTAGTTAAGTTGTTAATTTTCTGTCACAAAGCCATCATAATCTTATATCATGTCTAAACTGCAGTAATCTATGTTGTAATCAACTTTAGCTCTATCTTGTACTGTGTCAGAATGTGTTTTTTTTATTTCCACTTTTATATTATGTCATAAACATATAATACATATTATCTATATTATTAAACTATATTAAAAACTGTCTGTTTTTATAATATTTTTCTTTTGTGTTTTACTTCACAGAGGAACACAAAATATTTGTGTGGGGGAATGGCACCAGTGGACAGTAAGTAAATAAGTAACACATTCAATCAAAGTTTAAAAATGAATATGTTAAGGATTAGAAAACATATCTTATCAACAGAGCTGGGACCTAAAACAATTAATTTCAATTAATTATCATGTGTAAAAGAAAACAAAATAAGTTACATCATAACATATATAACATTCAAATACACAAATATAAAGATTTATTTTATACTATGTACTATTGATTTTAGGACTCTTGACCTTTTTTATTTTTTACTCAAAACAAAGTCCAGTGCTTAAAAAGGGAGCAGACAGAAGTGATTTTTTTCAAAATAAACTCCGATGTAAGCCAAAGTAAATAATAAAAACACATGTGTATATATATATACATTTAATTTTTTTTCTGTGGTGAATTACCAAACAATCCGTTGCCCGTTACTGGTCTCTGGTCCAGTGGTTGGGGATCCCTGTCTAATTTATGTGATGCTTTATTAACAGGTTCTTGAGCCACTCACATTAACTGATGATTTTCCTGACTTAACGTCACAGCTTAGTTATGTCAATTTAAATTTTTTTGGCTAGTATTTAAACTGCAATTGTTCAGCCTATCTCTTCCTGCTGATCACACTGCTGGTAATTTGCCTTGTACTAAAAAAAATCACCGCACCTTACAGAATCAAGCAGATTGTTGCCTTTATGCTATTTGCTGCAGTGAAAGGAAGCGTTGGTTGCCTGGAGGCACAGCGATTAACTGGTACAAAATAATCTGTGATAGAAGATATTCTGGGGAAGCTAATGGAATTTAATAGGTGAGCATTCACACAATGTCAAGGTTGGATGAGGCCATGGTATTTTGGGACTGGGACAGAACAAAGAGAGGTGTTTTATTTACTGAATGAACAAATGTGGAATTCAATCTGACAAAACAGTTGTGGACAATGGCAGAGCTCAGCAGAGCAGACACACTTTTTTTCAGTTTGTGTTGCACAAGTCTTCAGATAACAAACTTGTATTGATAATCACTTGTCCATAAATATCTGCAGTTGTTGATTCTGCAATAATAATCTTCACTTTTAGTTTTAAACTCTGTAAAACAAAATTTTCCTCCACGAGGAAGACTGACGGACAAAGTAACAAACAGCCAATGTTGTTTCTGCTTCTCGAGGAGTTTACTTGTTCAAACTTCTTCAGCCAGGAGCCAGTCTGGCTCTAATGACATCTTAAAGCCTGGGGGCTACGGTGATTCAGGGGGCCTCAGGTTCTCGCACAGAAACAGAGCAGACCTTGGAGGGGTGCAAAAAAGAAACAAAGGCATCATTTCTCACACTCACGCAGTCTCCCATTGTCCCCTCTTCTTCCCTCGCTCTCCATTCCTGTCTTTCCTTCTCTCTCCTCTCATGATGCTTTGACCCCTCTAAGCAGGTTGCAGCTCTAGTGGGGGAGCTTATAGTTGGAGGAGCCTATAGTTGGAGTTCCACAACACCCACTTTCAGAGCAAAGGGCGAGCTCTGTTACACAACTGGCACTCTGATATCTGCAAACTCCACAGCTCTCCTGTGTCTCTCACTGGAGGCGAGAGAGGAGGAGAGTAGAAGGGAGATGTGTAAATTTAAACTGGCAAACTTTCTGATGGAAATACCAGTGACCCCAGAGTGGTCTTGTCTTGAGTTGAAGCATTGTTGTAATCAATACTGGCTCCTGTGGGGATGGCGGGAGAGGACCTTTCGTTCCCTGTTTGTGGAAATAATGGAGAAGACTGTTTGTTATTTTTCCCAGACATGCGGCAAACTAGCAGATATGGCCAGGGCATTGCAGGTTATGACGCTGGCCCAGGGAAACAAATACAAAGAGGAGCATTTTATCAAGAAGCAAACAGTGGAGCCATGTTTGAAGCTGCTGGGAGCTCACAGGTCACAGGGTGCCGGGGCTGCGTTTGACCAGCTCATCTTGAAACAGGGTCTTGAATGTTCTTTGTTCACCCACACTAGGGACAGAGAGACAGAAACACAACTCACAGCTTTGTAGGATTGTGTAAAGTCATTTGTTCAACTCCAAGTTGAGTTAAGGTTGAGTTATTATTTTTTTCCCCTGAAACAAGTGCTGACCTCACCGAAATGTGCCTCTTAGATATGTTGTACGTGTGACTGTGTGTAGGGA